GGAGGGAATTATACAAAGGAAAAGATAGAGAGACTCACGAGGGAATTTGCAGAGAACTTTTTTGACCTTCTTATAGCATTTGTGACACTGAAGGTCCACCTTCAGCACCATTGTCGTCACCTGAAGCGAACCCATTTACAATTAGGGGACAATAAGCAAACTACAATTAAGAATTTCAGAAAAACAAACAAATAATAATATTATATACAAGAAACAAGATGGCTGCTGCTCCTGGACCTGCTGCGGTGCCCAAGAAGATGAGAAAGTAAGAAACTTTATGGATGGATTGTGGTTTGTAGACAAAAATAAGTGGAATGAGGTTCTGACTTGTGAGAGGGAAGAATCATGATGAGTAACTGACAAAATCAAGGACAAAACTCGGTGGGTCTTGGAGATATTAAAAAATAGCAGCCACAAAAGTTAAATAAGAGCTAGCTACGCCTGAGCCAGGCAAAATCATCAACTGGGTTTATCTAACTAAACTGAACCACAAAAAAAGAAGAAGAGGAAAACATAAACTTCACCAATTACCAACCATTTCTTTTTCTGCCATTGCAGTGTGAGTGCGTCTCAGATCTGAACCTCAACTGAAATGATTGAATGGGACTGGAACTCACGGGACCAACTTGTATATATATGTAAATTATGACAAGATTTGATTGAGGAATTCGTTAGAAGAGGGAGCAGAGAGGAAGAGAAGGAGAGGAGCGAGATTTGATTTGATTCAAGATGTTTATTATGAGTTTGTAAATTATGACAAAGTGCTTGCTAAGAAAGAGTGAAAAGATGTGAGCACAGTGTATTTCGTACACAAAGGTCCAATGGGATGTGAACACGTAGTTATTGGAGGTTGATTTCATTTCATGGTATCATTGAAGCTGTCGTTATATGAGGGTAGTGATGGTGGCTTTCTTCGATCGCTAAAAGTTGCCAACTTTTGTATTTGCATGTGCTGGCTTAAAGCTTTGATTCACCCACCTCACTCACCCTCCGAACTATCCAACTTCCAAATATTATTTTAAAGTAAATATTCCACCAAAGTTTGGTAGTCTTCAAGGGAGGGAGGGAGGGATATGCCTGCCAACATTATTTCAATGAGACCCTCAAAGCAAAGCAAAGTAAAATTATATTTTAAGGTAGTACGTATATAATAATGGTCAAGTCTCTCAAGTGCGATTATGGATGCACCATTGCATTGCATTGCATTGCACGGTTGCACCCCCACATGGCACATGCCACATGGAGATTCCTCCAGTTGTTTTTAGATCTAGTCCTCTACCTAGTGAAGAGGTAAAGAGGGTGTTTGTGACAAGTCATAATAAGTGGGGACAAAGATTAGGCAGCTTTTGGCTGGCTACATGCATGCCTCACAAACTTTTCGGGTGCCCAAGATTCTCATCAACAATTCCACGAAGAATGGAGATATTACACAAGGTACTATCACTGTTAGGTGGTAGTGCGTAACAATTGCATAGTGACACTGTCAGGTCCTAGTACGCACCAATTGCATAATGACATGTGGCGTGAATGTCTTTTAGAGCATCTCCAACCGATATGTCAAAAGTGCCACATAGATATTTAATGGCTAGAAATAGCATCTCACATCACTCTAACCGAATTGTCAAAGCTTATGTGGAATAAAAGCTGAAAGTTCAGCTGTTATTTTTTACATCTCAAAAGCTAGATGTCAAATGAATATTTTATTATTTTTTTAAAACAGATGGCTGCTACTTTCATTTATTATTTTCTTATTTTATTTTGTTTCCTTCTTTCTCTTTCCAGTTTATTTCCTACCGTTGAACAATTGTTTTTAAACACACGACCATTTCTTCCTATCGTGCATATGTTTATCACCTCTTTCATTTTCTTCAAAAAGCTATATGTATATATATAAAGAACTTGTGCTCAAACACAATTCTTCTTTTATACCCAAAAAAATTCTTTTCTTTTACAGTGAATTGTGAAGAACCCCAACATGTCTCATCATTTTTCCGATTCATCTTCTGATTCGACAGACGAGCACTTTTGGGATCTTGTTGATTCAAAGTCTGATGAAGAACTAGAAATGTTGGAAGTGGTTGCTTTGCAAAAGGAACAAGAGAATATGGAAGGAGAAATGAATAAACATCGTGGTGCTGTCCAAGGTCATGCATATATCGACAAATGACGACTACAAGGGCACCAAAAACTCTATGATGATTATTTTGCTGAGAATCCTAAGTACTATCCAGCTTAATTTCGAAGAAGGTTTCGAATGCGCCGACTACTTTTTCTTCGAATCGTAAATGTTGTAGAGGATTATGACTCATACTTTACCCAAAAAAGAGATCGAGCTGGTCGTCTTGGTTTATCACCTTTACAAAAAGTCACTGCTGTGATGAGAATGATTGCTTATGGAGTTACAGCTGATGTTGTCGATGATTATGTGCGGATTGGTGAAACTACTTCAATTGAATCAATGAAAAGGTTTGTTCAAGCGGTTATTGACATTTTTGGTGAGAATTACTTGAGAAGGCCAAACAATGCTGATATTTCAAGGTTATTAGTAGAAGGTGAGAGTCGGGGGTTTCCAAGAATGCTGGGTAGCATCAATTGTATGCATTGAAAATGGAAAAATTGTCTGGTTGCATGGAAAGGGATGTATGCTCGTGGAGACCACCGCGAGCCTTCGTTGATTCTAGAACCTGTGGCGAGCCTTCATTGTCTTGTAGTATTTTTTTTCTTGTTCAATTAATTGATTGTCTTTTAGTATTTTCTTTTCTTGTTTTAAAGATAAAAATATTCTGAACACTTTTCCAGAATGCCACGAACCCATCTGAGGCCATCTTGGGCTCCAAAAACGCAATAAAAGCCCAAAACGTCATTATTCCAGCACTGCATACTGCTCCTTTATTTCATTGCCAGAAAATTACCGCTTAGTAGAAAAATCTAAAATTTTGATATGATCAAGCTAAGTGACTCACGTACGTCCTCCAATTGAAATTAGTCCAAAATTCGTCCTGTTGATTATGTTTTGCTCCAGAGGAAGTTGAAAGTCCTATTTAAATATATAAAACAAACACGAAAACTAACGAACTAAAAATACCCCCAAACTTAGCTTTTTGCTTGTCCTCAAGTAAAACAAATCTAGAAAACAAACACGAAAACTAACGAACTAAAAACTTTAAATAAAACCTAGCTAAACAAAATTTCCATTCAAGTTGCAATCCATAAAAAATGTTTAAAACACAACACACCTAACTATAAGTATTAGAATTAACCTATAACTTTTTTCTTTTTTCTTTTGGTTGGTATTTATTCCTTGTATTGTATATAGTATATATGATTTCATAAACAAATCTGCATATGCATGTACTTGCCATGCCTTGGCTTCGAGGCTGCTGCTTGTCATGTATTTGCAGCTTTATCAGCATAACCAACATCAGCACACATAGCTAAAAGGGTATTATAAAGAATT